TCATCCAGCTCTACACCTTGTTATCTCAGATTCTCCAGCATCTGCAGTTCCTACTATCTCTGAACCAATGGGAGCATGTTGTGTTTTGTTACCTTGTCCAGACCCCTCAAGATTTTGAATGCCTCTGTCAAATCTCCCCTCAGCCTTCTCCTCTCCAAGGGAAACAGTCCCAACTTCTCCAATCTATCCACATAAACTGGAGTTCCTCATGCTCGGAGCTGTTCTATTAAATCATTTCCGCACACTCTTCATCTTTGCAACTGTGCAGTTAAGATAGAGATGGATAGGTTTGTGATTAGTAAAGGCATCAAGAGTTACAGGGAGAAAGCAGGAAAATGGGTTTGAGAAAGATATCAGTTATGACTATATGGTGGAGCAGACTAGATGGGCCGAATGGTTTAATTCTGCTCCTTTAACTTATGGTCTCATCTCTTTGGATGAGATATCAATCAAGATATCATGAGATATGGAGAAAGAAAAGGTTCTTATAGCTCAAGAAATCAAAGTTTGTTGAAAACAGGAACAGAGTACAGAGATGGATGAACAGCTGTGATCATACTGAATGGTGATGCAAGCTCAAAGGCCAAATGGCCTACTCCTGCTACTATTTTATACATTTTCTATGACAGGACAGGCTCAGAGGTGTGATAGCAACCTCCTGTTCCCATATGTCAAAGACTGACAACATTACGTTGGTGCAGTCCTTTGGAAATACAGCTGCAGACTATCGAAACATTACGAACATGGCGGTGCTCTGAAGGATGGCTGCTGTGGTAACAGTTCAAAACCTTTTTTATTTCTGTTTACCAATACATTTTTAATCAGGAAGTATTTTTCATGTTCATTAAATACCGAGGGGTGTATTTTTGGCCCAGGTGTTGCTTTGCCAAGAATGACGTTATGAATATTGTTATGAGTCTCTCTTTTTTTAACCCCTTCCTCTCCCAAGAACACAGCTTGCAAAAATGTCCCTTGTTTCTTGTTGTCTAATTAACATCTAAAGCACAATCAGGCCTCTGGATGGAGCAGAGGGTAATGGCAGTGGAGTTCAAGCCTCTTAAATGTTATCTGATCAGGTCATCAAACTGGGGCTGGGAAACCTTCAAGGAAGCACAATCACACTGTAGCTTTTCAAAAGCGATCATTAAAGGCTAAATTCTGAGCACAACTTTGCAGACAATGGGACTGTCTGCTGCGATAGGGTTAGGGTTAGGGCAGAGAGTCAGCCCGCGTCTCTCTATTCATACTACAGACCCCAGTGTTGGGTTAAAGAATGTTTTTATTCTGTGTCTCACTACCGCACCAACCCAACTCAGGGTTAGTCATAGAATCATAGAGATGTACAGCACGGAAACAAACCCTTCAATCCAACTTGTCCACGCTGACCAAATATTCTAAATTAATCTAGTTCCAATTACCAGCATTTGGCCCATATCCCTCTAAACCCTTCCTATCCCGATGCCTTTTAAATATTGTAATTGTACCAGCCTCCACCACCTCCTCTGGATCGTTCCATACACGCACCTCCCTCTGTGTGAAAACGTTGCCCCTCGGGCTCCCTTTTATATCTTGCCCCTCTCACCTTAAACCTATGCCCTCTAATAATGGACTCTCCTACCCTGGAGAAAAGACCTTGACTATTCACCCTA